AAATAACACTTCAATTTTTCAAAAATTTATTTTTTTAGGTTTCTATAATAAATTTAGTGAAATAGATTGTTAGTAGAAATATGGAGATTTCAAATAAAACAAACTTTTTATGTTTTATTTTTTTATGCCTTTCATATTATTTTAAAAAATAATTATACCACTTTATACAATAAAAATTAACTGCTATACAAAAAATTAACTTTTTTATTTTTTATGTTTTTTTATATTATTTACAAAAATATTTATACAATATATACAACAAAAACTATACAACACAAAAAATAAACGCCTAGGGGGGACTCGACACCTTGAGACATCACATGAAGAAGCAAAAATCTTAACCACTACACTACCGCACCATATGTAATTATAATTTGATGATTAATAGAATATATTTAAATTCCCTTTTTATTTAATGATGTTTGGGAATTATCCCACATCGAAAGACGGGTATGCCACTTTGGTATATAAATACCTATGTAATACAAATTAAAATGTTTATATAAAAATATTGGGATAACCTCACATGTGTTGCATACGTGCACGTGCGTGTGGGACCCGTGCACTTGGAGAACCGGGCTAAACCAGACAAAACCGGATTGGATCGGGTAGTTCTCGATTTTGTATTGGAATCGATACGGGCTGTGCCGCACCCGTACACTTGGGGAACCGGGTTGAACCGAATAAAACTGGATTGGAACCGGGGAACCGAGCTAAACCAGTCAAAACCGGATTGGATCCGGTAGTTCTCGATTTTGTATTGGAATCGATACGGGTTGTGCCGCACCCGTACACATGAGGAACCGAGCTGAACCGAATAAAACCGGATTGGAACCGGATTAAAATCGATGATTCCCGATTTTGTATTGAAATCGATACGGACTGTATTGGTTCCTGAATCGAACCGAACGTTTAAAACACTGCTATAATGTATAGATTTCTCTCTCAAGAAATGGTGATCTTTCTCTCCCTCTCTCTAACGGAAACGAGATAATAAACGTTTTGACTATTTGCGTCGTGATGTGTTTGACCATTTCAGGCATCATCCCCTCGGGGTTTGTCTTTCCCATTCCATCCTCCTTTGTGCTTATTTAGGGTTTCGGTGGAAAAGAACAACGTGGGAACACTTGGGTATCATGAATCCTTGCTTTGCCCTTTACTGATCTTAAAGGGTGTAGTTGCAACTTTAAACGATCTAATTAACGCGCACCTCCAAATTTTTTCGCAATCTATAATTTTGTTGTAAATTTTTTTTTAAAAAATCTTTTTTTCACTAATTATAAAATTTTAAACTTCAAAAATTGTTAAAATAAAGTAGATCTATACGCATATGGAAATCTTGAAAATGGATGGTTTGGATAATGTGTTGCAAGATGCACTATTTTTACGACTCAATCTTTTTTTCTTTTTATATTTATATATCTGGATGTCGAGATGATTAATTAGAAGGTTTTTCAACGTTAAAACAACATTTTTTTGATAAATTTTTTAGGCAAATATATAATTCTATATTTTAAGGGTGCAATTTTATGTAAACTTTTTCCATCTACTCTCACACTCTCACGTTTTCGTGAATGTTCTTCTCCTTTCTCTTGGTCTCGGTAGATTCGTGGGTCCTTGGCTCCTTGCTTTTCTATAAGGGTTAAAAACAGCGTTCACAAAATCGGTCAAGTAACCAAGTTACACAAGCTTGGGCCCTTGTTGAGCCCAAGTTATGTTGGGTTGAGTGTCGAGGATATTAAAAAAATTAAAAATTATAAAAAAATAAGAAATTTATTTGGAATATTTTTTTTAATATTTTCTATCATTTTGACAAAGATTGGAAAGTGTCTTGGCTGTAAATTTTTTTTTTATATTTTTCTATCTTTTCTTGATTATTTAAAAAATACTCCCATTTACAAGTTAGGTTTTTTAAAATCTATGTTTTAATGGTTTATTTAACCTCATTTTGATGTATTTTGATTAATCTTATTTTAAACGTACATTTCCACATTCTTTTATTTTCTTTTTCTTCGATATGCTTTCTGCCTTTTTTTTTTTTTTTTTTCTTGTTTCATTACCCTTCCCACTTGTGTTTCCTGCTACACAAAGAAATAGGTCAGTTTAGAGGAAAAACATTTTGAAGTTTGTAATTTTTTAGAAATGGGAAAATCATTGACCTAGCAAAGTGAGGGGGCAAATTCTTCATACAAATGAAATAATTTATTCACATTAAAAAAATCAATGTTATTTGGATTCTAAGGAAGTTGTTTGGGTAGGTTGGGGGTATTCTTGATATTATCTTGATTTAAGCCTGTTTTGACCCAATTATATGTTATACATTTTATTTAAGAGTCTCAACTATTGATGATTTCAAATCGCTTAAACTCATGTGAGTCATAATTTTCCTAGGTATTAAAAAAAAGAAGAATAAATATTTGTGTCTTATTTTTATTTTTTAATAACTAAATTCTTAATAGAGCCGAATTTTAGCCCTGGATTAGTTGGAAGTCAATGACATTCTAAATAATGTAAAAAATAAATAAAGAATTTCCCCAACTAATAATAAATATAAATTTGCGATACAAGTGTCATGTAAAGGAGGAAGCATTTTTCCCAAATTAAAAAGTAGCATAGCTATTGATAACAATTCCTATAAAATGCAATATAGACTACTGACATGTAAAAATAGAATAATTTTCCAAAATAAGAAGAGCATTGGGATTATAGTTTTGTAAAAAATAGGAAAATAACCTCAATTTATAAAAAAGAAACAGAAAATTAAAGTAACTGCCCAAAAAAAAGGAAATCAAAGAAATTTTCAAACTATAAGACACAAGCAAAGTAATATCAAATGTATGAGATATAATAAGGGTACTCCTGTTTTATTTTTTCACACCCCTAAAATATTTTAACAGGGAAATTATTTGAATGAATTTCCTATATTAAAGAACTTGTGCATGATGTGAAAACAAAGATGTATTTCGGCCCACAAAGCCCCATTCTCGCTCAACGTTTAGTGTAAAGTTCACATTATTGGAGGGCCCTGCGGTCCCCCCTCCCCCTCCCCCTTTCTCTCTCTTTCTCTCTCTTTATCTCTCTCTCTCTCTAGCCGGTCAAGCAAGTTCTAAGTGCCATTTATCCCTCTCAATCTTTTCTTATTTTGGTTGTTTTGTTATGTTGCGGGAGAGACGAGCAAATAAGGTCTCAACTTGATTTTCGGCATAACGTTAGGGATGGCACGGGTCAGTTACGGGTCGGGTCATGCTAAACCTACATCGAGACCCAAATAATACTCGGATTCAGGTTTTGGATCCATACCGTACCGTTGGGTCAAAAAATTGAACTCATACTTGTACTTGTCGGGTCTTAGGTCTGATTGGGTCCATTGCCACCTCTATGGCTATGAGCTTTTTTTTTCTTTCTTTTTTTTGCCTTTCTTTTTACCATCATATACCTATATTATTGACCACATGGCCACAATCAAGCTGTCTAATTGGTCGTTTAATAGCTAAAGATGACTGCGAATACGGCTTAAAATAAAGTATTTTTTCTCCAACAGTTTATAGGTCGGATCCAGCTGGACTTGGACATGGACCTGAATAGTGGTTGGGTCTAGGTTTTGGATGCGGACCAAAGCCATCAGGTCCAAAACTAGACCAATACTCGGACCTGAGGTTGGGCCTACCCATCGGGTCCCGGTTTTAAGAAAATGTTGAAATAAGTCTCCGGACTGATAAAAGAAAGTAAAGCCGCACCTTAAATCTCACTCAAATTTGTAGCTTCGGTTTTGGCAAATCTTTTAATTAATCATCTCAACATTGACTATTATGGATGCGAAAAAAGACAAAAATTACAAATTGAAAAATATTATCCTATCCTGCATTATTTAGATCGTTCAACTCTTAGTATCCACAAATAATATGTAAGAGTTTGAGTGTCAAATTTTCTAAACAGAGGTGAAAATAGATTTCGGAGGAGTTTCGTGTTAGAAGTCTAGTTTTGTAGTGAGATATTGAAGTGAGGGTTTACCTGTTTTCAATATAAAAACTGCATTAGTTTTCCACAATGATCCCTCGAGGACCATGTATATGTGAATGTGCAAGAGCTAGTGGTAAATCCTCATGCCGTTATTGTACTACACATTAAAAAAAAAAAGTACCTTAAATTAACGACTTACAAAAATTGTCAATTAAGGAGTAGCATACATGAGTAACATATTTAAAAAAAAGTTGACCTTTGACTTAGGATTGCTTTTTCAAAAAATCGGTTCGAGTCGACGAATCAACGATAAAGATCAACAATATGGACACATGAACTAGCCAAAAAAATTTAAAATAATTAAAAAAAAAAAAACAAAAATGTGATCCATTGTTTAACAGAACTAGCTGAAATTGTTAAAGAATTGATTAATTCCCATATTTTTTTGGCAGACCTGCATAAGCTCCACCAGTTACTGATCCGACCGGACCAGTTCGAATCCGGTTCATCCTTTTCTTAAACACCAGTATTAACACATCCACCACAAATGTTCTCCACATACAATATCCACCTTTCATCGTTAACATTAACGGTGGATTCTTCGCCACATTAATCCACCCATACCGGTTAAATAAAGCAAAAAGGTGTGGTAATTGATAATTTAGGTGGAATGAATAAAATGGGTGGAGATAATAGAAACGTAGGTGCTCGAGTCAAAGAGTTAATAAATAAAGTCTTTCTCTAATAATAGACAACTGTTAGCTTTGATAAGGCAGGACACGTGGCCAGTTGTCGGACTAGGACCACGTTTAGCCGGTCATAACCAGCCTGTATTCTGCTGAGGACAAGGCGTGGACCCACCGGATAACGGGCTATGCGTCCACGAAGTGACCGGACCAGCCGGTTATAACCTGACGCGCATCGCATAAAAGAGGCCCGCCATGCCAGTTGCATTTTCGGGAGTTGCAGCTCTACCCTTCCCCTCTCTCTAAACTCTGGATTCTCTCTCACTACCACTCTCTCTCTAGACTACAGAGAGTCCTCTCTCTCTAATCTGGTGTTTGCATTTCTCTCTCTCTCCATTTTGGGATTTGCAGCTCTTTCTCTCTCATCACACTACTTTCACTGGGAATTTGCAGTTCTTCCTCTAACTCTCTCTCCCATCAAACCAGTTGCAGTGGGAATTTGCAGTTCTCCTTCTAACTCTCTTTCTCTCATCAAACATTCAATGAGGATTTGAAGCGCTTTCTCTCTCTCTGCCAGTGTGCCATTACCCTTTTTTTTTTTCTCTGGGTGTACATTTTCACGCCCCAGAAAGATGAAGATACAATGGGGGCGCTTGCTAGTGCTCCTTGTCGCTCTGCAACTCGCCATGGCTGCTCTTGCTCAGAGCCCTCCGAGCTCCAGGAATTCGACGCGTATTTGGCGAACACTTACTGGTACTGTGCTTCTTCTTTACAAATGTCTGCGCCATTTGGGTTTGGGGGGTTTGGGATCCAGTGATTTTGAGTAGTTTTTTGTTTCTGATGTGCTGTGGGTACTGTTTATTTTTTTGTTAAGCTTCGTACATTATCATTAATTTCTCAAGGATTTCAGTATTTCAGGGATTTGAGAAGTTTTGAATTCTCATTGTCTTTTGGTTTATATAACTGTTTTTTATTTTTCTATGAAATCAAATATTGATTTCATCATTTATCATGGCCTTTCAATTGGGCTATGTCCAGGATCATTATGCTTATCTTCTGCCTCCTACTTCCATTTTTCTCTTGATTTTACTATTTTTGGACATAAACTGTGTTTTTTCCTTATTATTTCCCTATTTTTGGGGGGATTTGAATGCTTGTTTGTGGATTGCATTTTACTGTTTTTGGACTGCTATTTTCACCCATGTTTTTGCTGTACTCATCCATGTATGTGGGTGAAAATTATAACTATCCGTTGTTTTTAGTGTTCCCACCCATATTTTAGGTGGGAATAGCGAAAACCCATGGGAGCAAATAGCGATCCCATAAGTTTTCCTCATTCAGTCATTATTGCAGTTTATTTTGATCTACTTTCTCAATCATGCTTTTTAGTTTGATCCAACAATATAAAAGAAAAAACAGTTTTATGTATTTTCTTAAGGAAGTTATACTGTTTTTGTCAATTTTTTGGAGTTCCTATGCCTATCATCAGCTTCTTCTTCTTCTTTTTTTTGTTAATTTCACACTTTACGTACGTAGTTAGCTACTGATATTTTTGAAGCTGCTGCAATTTGGATAATAAAATTGACAGCCCACGATTTCTTGTTTTACCAAATATGAGTAGATAATTCTCTGCTGTTCAGATATTATTGTTATATTTCTTATGTACATCACTCTGTTGCATGTATTATTGGATCTAATTTTTTTTTTTTATTTGAAATTATAAGAATACCCACTGGTTTTTTTTTTTTTAATGTGTTGTAGGCAATGCTCCAGTAGTGATTGCAAGGGGTGGATTTTCTGGTCTCTTCCCTGATTCGAGTACTTTCGCCTTCGATTTCCCAAATAGTTTGAACTTGCCCCGTCCTATCTCTTGGTGTGATGTGCAATTAACAAAGGATGGCAAGGGTGTTTGTCTGCCAAGCCTTTTACTGGACAATTGCACAAACATTCAGGAAATTTATCAAACAGGGAAGAAGACATACACTGTCAATGGTGAAATTCTCACTGGGTGGTTTTCTATAGATTTTACCATTGAGCAATTGGTTAACAATGTGACATGTAAGTTGGGTTTCTTGAAAAGTTCTAGTATGATTGACTGGTCCAGTAGCTTCAATGTTTTCTTTGGATATGATCTCACTCATATTATGGAAATGTATCATGGCAAATTATTTCTCAGTCCAGTGGATTTTGGTATATGTTACTCCAAGGCTGCATCTACCACCCATTCCTATTGATGAGTGGATGGTGATTTACTGGAGTGGGGCCCGATGGAACACTCGCCAAAGTACGGTTATTCTCTACCCATCCATCAATGGGAACGAGTAGTGGATGTAACTTGGTGTAGCGTATACCATGAAGGATGAATAATGGCTATCTCTGTTGAGTTTTACATGTTTTGGAAATTTCTTTTGGAGAAGGGGCTTGCGATTTAGGTTGCTATATAATCTCAATTATGGAGGGCATGTAAATTCTTGTTTGAATGAGTTTCTTGTGTAATTATTCAGGATAGAGAAACTTCAAGTTCCTTGTTTTTAAGAAAACCCCAACTCTTGAAATGATGAGCTTTTTTCTTCTTTGTTTCTGTTCTGGGCAGTAATCCAAGGGATTTTTACTCGAACAAATGCATTTGATGCTACTGGGTCAATTCTTCCGGTTGAATATGTAGGCACCCAGACTCAGGCACCTGGGTTTTGGTTGAATATACAGGTAAGGGGTACTGGATTAGAATATTTATCTGTTACTTTATCAATCTGCCTATCAACATAAATGTTGACCTCTCAGAGTCTCATACAGAATGTATTTGTCTTCTTAAAACTTTGGTTTTCAGGGATCTGACTACTCTGCTGACTACTATGGCAAATGTTGTTTGAAGAAAACATCTTTTTCTTTATCCAATTAGAGATATTTTTAATCAAATTTATCTAATATATTCAATTATGAAAATATCTCTAATTTTGTTTTTGAAATATTTGTGGCAGCATGATATATTCTTCAGACAACACAATTTGAGCATGCGATCATATGTGATCTCTGTTTCGAGGCAGATGGTTGTTGACTATATCTCATCACCAGATGTGGCTTTTCTTAGCAGTATTGGGGCCAGATTTAAAGGAAGCAAGACAAAATTGGTATTTCGCTTTCTTGAAGTAGATGCCGTGGAGCCTCTAACTAACCAATCATATGGTTCACTTCTAAAGAATCTGACGTTTGTGAAGACATTTGCTTCTGGAATTCTAGTACCCAAGGATTACATATGGCCCACAAATTCTGATAACTATCTTGAGCCTCACTCTGCTGTTGTTAGGGATGCTCATAAGGAAGGGTTGGAAGCTTACGCATATGGTTTTTCAAATGATGTTCCTTTGAGCCACAACTATAGCTATGATCCACTGGCTGAGTGTTTAAATTATATTGATAATGGTGAATTCTCTGTTGATGGTGTCTTGACAGACTTCCCAGTGACTGCATCGGAGGCAGTAGGTGAGCATTTCTGTTCTTCCATACCGCAGGTTTTATACGCTGTCCATTTTTTCTTCCATTTTTTCTTTATCTTTTAGGGTTTGAAACTCCTTTAATTGCACTTTGCCCTATACTGAGTCTGTTTTATGATGCACAGTATCTCGTGAGGTCCGAATTTTGAGCAAAGTTCAATTTGCATTGCTCTAGTGCAGTCTTTTGTAATTTGGAATATAAATACCTAAGTAAAGCTACATGACCTTTTTTTTTTATGTTTTGAGAACTGGGAAATTCCTGAGTTGTTCAGGATCCAATATTGGGTTTTAGCTTCTCTTTTTACTGCGTGCCTGATGATGATGAGATATAGCATGAAAATGAAGATATATGGTTGAAAACCTGGTACTGACTGCTTATCACTGCTACCATTCATCCTTGTGATCTATTGTTAACTCATCTTGTGGCTTCCAAAATCGCCAATGTTCGAGTTGGTGGGCAGAGAGATAAAACTGCTCCCCACTGGTATATAGGGATGGTTAAAACCCTGAATTGCCACCAGTTTTGATAGTTGCTCCCCTATCAGAGCTTTTTTTTTTTCTTTACTAACAAGGGTGGCACAGATACATGTAACTTTGTTATGAGTAAGGTTCCTATATGAAATGATAGCTATATAAATAGGACTTAAAAGTGCACAGCTAATCAGCAACTCTCACAAATTATGATGTGATATATTAAGAACTGCCGAGATGGAGAAATCAGATTCTTTAAAAGAGGACCTAATTTTATGGGTAAGTCATGAACAACATAGCTTTCTTTTTCTCTTGTTGGCAGAAGTCTTTTGACAAATCACTTTACTATCTGTGTTTAATCATAATTCTAATAAGTTGTTTTGCTCGAAGTTTATTCTTTCAGCATCTAAGTCATGGACAAACTTGTCTTTGTCTTTGGGCTACCCATCTAGTTAGTATTTCTATTTTCACCTGAAGGAAGTGTTTGGATGTTATGTTAAATCATTATGTGCAGTTGGGAGAGAATCAGAGAACCTTATCAAATATAATGGAGTAGTAAAGCAATTACGAGGTGTCAACTTTATCAGTAACTTCTGTACTTTACATTTTGGAGAATAAAGGATAACTGTAATCTACATTGATTAAGATAGCGCCTAGGTTCATAAGAAGATTATGGAAATTGATTTTAGGTTAGTATTTAGGTTTCTTATGGTATGCTTTTCTTTTAACATGTCCCTTTAAATCTTGACCTCTTAGAATTAGATACCTTTCATGACCATGACTCTTGCCATTACTGCAGGTTGTTTTTCCCATGTGAACCCCAATACATCTGACAAAGGTAATTTCCTATTCTTTTGCATTTGTTTTGGATTCTTTGGTTGAATTTTTATGCAATTCGAAAGTATTTCGGTGTGTTACTGAAAACCCTAGATATAATGTGTAATGGCCTAATTTTGATACAAGGGCATTGATCTTGATTTGTGATGCAGGGAAGCCATTAGTCATCTCACATAATGGAGCAAGTGGAATATATGCTGACAGTACAGATCTTGCTTATCGCCAAGCTGTATCAGATGGTGCAGATGTCATTGATTGCAATGTCCAAATGACAAAAGATGGGACTCCCATCTGCCTTGGTTCTATAGATCTTCAGGCAGACACAACAGCTTCATCAAGTTTTATCAATAGATCTACCACAATTACTGACATCCAGATGACTGCTGGTATCTTTTCTTTTGATCTAAGTTGGGCAGAGATCCAAAGCTTACAGCGTAAGTCGCAGGACACTAAATCTTGCATATTATGCTCAAAATCTTTCTTACTAGTTTTCACTTTTTTTGTGAAAGTAGACCTTGATGTGACTACAGCTTTAGTTTTAGGGTGGGTGAGGTTACGAACCTTAACATTGTTAATTTGAATCCTCCTGTAAGAGTTAGTAATATCAATTAGATCGGGGCAATCATGTACTAGAAAACTTAAAAAAATTTTGGACTTGTTTGAGATCCGTATCACATGATTTGAAAAGTCAAAGTTGAGATGGAAGTCGGTTAAGATTTTGAGAAATTTCAAATTTTTTTCAAAAGCATTCCTTAGAAATAGTAAACGAAAACAGTAATAATAAGTCATTTAAAATTTGTTGTAGTTTACCTTTTCAAGCTATTATTTTAGTACAACAATGTCATATTTAGATCTACGAAAAATGGCCTTGGATGTTAGGTGGGGAAAGTGGTTCCATTAACCCAGTATACCCATTAATGTCAACATGTAGGATCTGACTCTCAAAGTTTCAAATTCGTGACTGCATGTGTTAAAATTATGCGACTTTCTAGAACTTGAACAAGTCAGGCAACCAATAGTGGGTGGCCTACTTTTCCCACTATCACAAACACAAACGAAGTTGAAGTACGATGCTTTTTTCACCTTTAAGCACTTTACGAAAAGCTTCCTGAACCCCATGAATCATTTATTCGTTTCATATGAATATGTTTTGAATGTGTAATACTGTAATGTGTGTTACTTTTATTAGTGTAGCATTTGAACATATGAAGGTTATCTTAAAGCATGAGATAACATTATAGATTTTCTTAATTGTGCATTCTACATCATTGCAGTTTGGAATTTCTTATATAAATAAGGATGAAATACTACTCTGAGGAACCATAGATCTGAGGATTCTTTCATTAGATTTAGAAAGTTTACTTGTGGATAATATCGTTGATGTATACTTTTGAGGATCACCCAGAACTTTTAACTTGAGTAAATTGAGAGGCACGAGGTGGATGTAGACACACATGGATCATGGTATTCCTTACTCTCCTTGGCACAGGAGGAGCCACCAAGAGTAGATGTATTTTTACAAGGATATGGGTTGAGTTTTTGTTATTCGATTCTTTGAATAGTTGCATTTCCAGTGCTTTATGCTAAGCATGACACTGCATCTCTGTGAATTCTCTTTGGGAATTCACAAAAGGTTACCGGGGGGGGGGGGCATGTCAGATAATTTTGGTTGCCAAAGCAATTATCTTAGTTTCTGAATGACTAATTCTGTGGGAGCCGCCGGAATCGGGCTTGGCTTGAATGGTTAGCAGCAGATGTTTAGCATCACTATATCTCAAGTCCGATCCTACCAGAAATACCCAAAAACAAATCTGTGGGAGCTGCATTTAATGTAGGTTCATAGTAAATAGGCCCAAACAATCTTAATGTCAAGGTGCAACCTCATCAAGTGTACTAGTATTGGTGGTTTATTCACCTAAATCTAACTTGAGTATTTGTGGTGATTATTTTGGTTCCATCGTTTTGGTTTCAAACCATAACAACAAAGGTACTAAAATGTTTTGATTAGTTTTGAATTTATGATGCCCACACACACCTAGGAAATAAACTTGCTCAAACTTCTGCATATCTTTTGCCGTAGAGAATCCAATCAACATGTGACATCAACAGAGTTGTGAATTTAGATCAAAATTTTGGTATTATGTATTGGCTAGAATAATCAAGAAATTCCAATATATCCTGACTCATCGTGATATTTTGAAAATGAAATCCCTACATTGTGCAGTTTCTGCCTGCTGTTAACATGCATAGAAATTGGAGTGGTAGCAACCACTGAGAACAGTTAGAGGATATATGGACTAGAATAATCGATATATCCCAATAAATCCCAACCCATCAAAATATTTTGGAAATGGATTTCCAGGGATGCACACTGTCTGCAGTTAATATGCATAGAAATTGGAATGTTAGCACCATTCAGTTTCAGAGCATTTGTTCTGAGAATTTTTCTAGAAAAATGAATCAAAAACCTTGAAACTGGGTTGATTCTTCCATATACGACAACCAAACCATGCAAAGGTGCAAAGATTTAGAGGGTGGCAAGCCGGGATGTGAGGTAAACATTTTCCAAGAAGAAAACTAACCACCAAAAATGATGGGATTGTGCACAAAGGAGAATGGAAACGAGTTGTATACCAACCATCAGAAGGGACTGTCATGCATAGCCAAAAATGCAATGAAATGCAGATGCATTCTCTTTGGTTAGGAAATAGTAGTATAGGCTATGCTCTGTGTCAACTAAGCCTTTGGCTTAGCTGTGAGACACCCTAGTGGCAGCGATAGAAGGTTGAAATGATTCACAAAAAGAGGATCTTGAATGAGATAAAGTGAGATTGGTTATGATCTCGGGTGGATGGGCTACCTCTATTATTCTTTAATACCTATTGAAGATTGGCGCTTCACGGCTTTAATAGAAGGCAAAAAACCTTTTGTTACTCTTAATCATTTTTCAAGGAAATGGTTGTGCAGTTTGTGCTTTCTTCATTTATCGCACCTTTGTCATACAGTGCAGGATAAATATTATATCTTTAGTTATGACCATTGGTTTATTGAAAAGAGTTGGAACATGAATAAAATACAAATGACATAAAGTACCAAAAGCGCATAAAAAAATTCACAAAAAAAAAGCCCATAAAATGACCACTCTTTCCATAGTGTTGGAACTTGGAACAGATTGTATGGTACTCTTGATACATTATAAGTAAAACCTAAAGTGTCAATTACTTAAATAAAAATTTTAAAAGATAGGCTGAAGAATCTTCTCCAAAAGCAAAACAAGAAAAAAGAAAAAAAGGAAAGATATGTAGAGCACAAGCACAAAGCCTTAGATGGTAGGGGTTTGGAGGAGAATGCCCAGGAATGTTGACCCAAGGAAGAGAAAATATGTAAGAGGCGGTGTTTTTGGGTTTTAGATATGGGAAGGCATTTGAATTATCAAGATAAAAGGGAACAAAGAAAACTGGCCGAAACAGAAAGCAAAAGAACGACTTGCAGGATGAATTGCTTGATGATACTCTGCATCCTCCCAAAACTAGGGCGTTTGCAAGGAAGAAAAGTTGTGTCAAAATGCTGAACTTTACATTCACAATGTATAGTACCCACTGAATCTCTAAAATGTAAGTTGATATAAAGTATATCCAGTCCCTTTTCCTAGTTGTTCAATTTTGAATGAGCAGTTGGGATAACCTCAAGTGTAATGTTGCAAGTTAGTTTTTGAGCCTTTGATCTTGATCGAATGGCTTGGAGTATTTTATTTTATTTTTATTTGTTATTTTATGAACCATTTCCTAAAATTTGCGGGTGTTTCACAAGGGGTCTTTTGGTCATTTTTAGTCATATATATATATATATATATATATATATATATTTATTTTTTTTATTTTTTTATTTTTTATATTTATATTTATATTATCGGTTTAGCAAGGCGCACCCTAATAAGGTGAGGGGTGCCCCAAATTTTATGCAAAACCGATGTGTAGAAAAACAATTCAAAATAAAAGGACAATGTTTATATAAGGGTGAGGCCCTAAACAATCAAATTAAGGCACAGCTCGAAAATTCACTGAAAGAGGTTGCTTCGATGCCCAAAAACCCTGAAATTGATCATCTCAACCTCAAGATATATGAACATGAGAAAAAATGGATTTCAAATCTTGGAAATAGTGTATCTTGTAATGCATTTTCTGGACCGTCAATTTTCCATATTATTAAGTATTCATAGATCTGCTTGATCTATACTATTTTTGAAGCATTTAATTTTTATAATTAGAGATGGAAATAAATTTTCGAATGATCGCAAAGATTTCCAGTACTGAAATAGCATCTTCCGATACCATTTCAAGGTGCGCCTTACTTTGATTGTTTGGGCCTCAGCCTTATACCACACCCAAAATAAAGTATTCTTTGGCGTGCGATTGTGACTAAAGCTATCCGGGCTTCCATCCAGATTAGACAGCTTGGAATAGGCGTTACATATGGGGTGGCGCCACATGTAAAGTTCTCTCTAATGTAGAAGGAGACTCTTTTTTTCTATTTTTTTCTTTTTTTAAGTGAGAGAATGAAATGATTGTTATAATGTTTGCCTGTTTTTTTTTTTGAACTTTGTCTTTTGAATAGCTTGTCCATGTTGGATTCATCTTTAACAGTTCTGGATTTATTGCTCCCTTTGATTTATCTTGGCTGTTCACCTCATTATGAAGGTATTGCTGTCTCTTTTAGAATGATAAATTGACATTGAAAAGGTCTCAACAACTCTATAATCATCAAAACAAATTTTAATAAGATTTCCTTTTAGTTGCTGAAAATTCTATTTGCTGAAAGCATCTTATCATTATTTTTAATGTTTGTTACAGCGGTAATACAAAGCCCAGCATCTAGAGGAAACGGTTTGATACGAAATCCGGCATATGTAAATCAGGGGAAATTCATGACACTTTCTGACTTTCTGACATTTGGAAAGGAGAACTCTATTTCAGGAATATTGATACGTATAGAGGTGCGCTGTTTACACCGTTATACAGAATCACAATATATGCACTGTTTACATGTTATAAGTTATCTGCTTTGCTGCTAGTACCATGAAAATGATCTTTGATTAATTGTAGGTTATCTTTTGTGACCCCCCATCACTGTTTAATGGACACCAACATGTGTCAGTTTCTGACACCTACATGAGTGTTGGCGTCCAAAAAGTATTGAAGGTGTATAGTACTTCATCAAAGAAGCACTACTGCAAGACACGACTGCAAGTAATATAATAAATAAAATGTTAAATTTAACACAACCAGTGTTTTCTGATTCAGTTGAGATGATGTGGACTTGCCCAAGTTGGCTTGCTATGAGCAAATTCGATATTAAGTTTATTTGCTTTATAGAATAGGAGCATTTGGGGAAGAATTTCTATTTCTTTGATATCATGTTTACAGGGACTGTATGAACGAAAATCCATCTCATCTCTCTGAATTCCAAGTTTTCAAGGTGAATCATTCTAACTTTTCAACCGGAATTTATTATACACACTGATTTCATGGATGTAGTAGCGCAATAATTTACTCATGGTAGGAGACAGATGTAGCCCTTTTGTATTGTTACCAGTTGTGGCTACTGAGACATACCAAAAATAAATGCATGTTTCCCTGGACTATAAATGTGATTAGGCATATGAAAAACAACAGACTAAAAGAAGGGCTCCAAACTGAAGCTGTAATTATGGGTCCAAATAATTTAACACGTTGGCTTTACCTAGACTGTCTCCATTACTTCCTGGATCTAAATACACTATTGCTGTATCTGACATCTTGTACAATTGGCAACTTTGTGGATGACAGGCCCGCTCTATAATAGATGATTGGCCAGGTTAATTAGCCGTGCTTAATGCATCTTGTTAGAACTTTTATATTTGTTACCACATTTTCCTTCTACCTAAAGAACCTCTTGTGTCAACTTCTAACCTCAAAACAAAATCTTCGAAGTTTGTACTCTTTTTGTACATCAATATTTTGGTTAAGAATTCTTGATGTTCCAATCAAGTATTTGGTTATCATCATCCTCTACAAGAATAGATAGATTACAATATTGCAAGATTAGAACAGAATGATAGGTCAAAGATATGATCTCAAAGATATACTGTCTATACAAAATACAATCCCATGTATCCTCTTAACATCCCCTTGCAAACTGATCGGGGCTGTGGAATGCTCAAGCAGTTTTAGACTGCAACCAGTGAAAGTGTTGGTAAGGCAATCCTTCTGTGAAAATATTAGATAGTAGATCCTGGCTGATAATGTATAGAACTTTGAAATTCCCCAGGGGCAACTCTTTTGTGAGAAAAATGAAAAATAATCTCCATATGCCTGGTGCAAGCCTGAAAAGCGGGGTTTACGGCTATTTAAGTTGCACCTGTTGTAAAGCAGAAGAGGCTGCAGAATGTATGCTGCAAGTTCACGAAGAAGATATGTGACCCATAGTGACTTGGCAACCATGGCAGCCAAAGCTCGATATTCGGAGACTCAACATTAGACTGGGTAAAGGAAACGGGCTTGGGTCAAGACGGTAAAGGCTAGGCTTTCATAGCCCAACGTCTGAAGTTCCATTCCTATGTAACCTTGTCCCAAAAAAAAAAAAGACATTAGACTGGGTATTAAAAATTGTTTCTTAGGACTCCAAGCGATCCAATTACCACATAAGAAAACAGTGAAACCTGCAGTGGAATGAAAAGAATCCAAATGCCCAGCCCCGTTAGCATTAGAAAAGGCAGTAAGAAGAAGATGGTCATGACAAAAAAATACAAACCCATAGCCCAAAGTTCCTTTGAGACAGTGAAGGATCCTCTTGACACTAACCAAATGGACTATAGGAGTTGATGCATGAATTGGCGCTCCTGGTTGATTGGAAAGGAAATATCAGGTCTAGCAATAGTCAAATATTGAAGACTCCCAATATAATAATATGTAGGATCAGGCAATGGATCACCTTCATGAATCGACAACTTATACACCAAGGCTGCCAGAGTACTAAGTGGCTTAGATTAAAGCATATTGGTCTTGTGTAATTGGTTGACATTGTACTTATTTTGAGTGAGATGAAGCTCCGAAGAAGTATGAAGCATATTGGTCTTGTGTAATTGGTTGACATTGTACTTATTTTGAGTGAGATGGAGCTCAGAAGAAGTATGAACATCCTCAATTCCCAGAAAATAATTCCAGGTCCCCAAATCTTCGATTCCAAACTGATGCCGAAGGAGCAAAATGCAGTCATGTAGGGCAGTAGAAGAGTTTCTTGTACGAGTGATATCATCCACATGTAGAAGTAGAATGAGGACAGTCCTCTAATAATGACACACAAACATGGAGTTGTCTGCCCCACTATAGGCAAACTGAAGCCCATGCTGCTTGCTTGACCTCATAACCTTTCATAGCTTGTTCACATGGATTGGGTGATTGGTATTCTGAAAACTTGATGGTTGCTGCATATTGACCTCAGTATACAAAATTCCATGGAGAAATGCATTTTTAACATCAAATTGATGCATTTCCTATGAGAAGTGAACAACAAGAGTGGGATAATACAGATAGTCAATGGCTTGGCGATGAGGCTAAACATTTCACAAAGTCACTACCATGTTTTGATTGAAAACCCAAGCATCTAACCGAGCTTTGAAGCACTCAACTGAACCATCAGACATTTGTTTTACCTTGTACACCCACTTGCAACTAATGACATTCATGGATGGTCGGTAAGGAACCAATGTCCAAGTTTTGTTATTTAATAAAGCATCAAATTCTTCTGCCATTGCCACTCACCAATTGGGTCCTTTAACAGCCTGGGAGAAAGATGTGCGCTTGGAGATACCACTTTGAGAAGCAAATGCAGGAAAACAAAGAGAATTTGGATGAGAGCAGGTGGAATAAAGCTTTGGTTTGCACCATGGGGTGAACATTGGTGGGAGGCAAGGATCCAGGTGAATTAGATGGAGCAGGATAGGTGGCCTGAGCAACCATTCGGGGTGGTGCGTCTAAAGGAGGGGGCTGTAAGGGATTAAGTGGGGAGTTTGGTCTGAAGAAGGTGAAATAGGTTGATCCAGAGGAGGAGTAGGTGATGTTGATGACGGTATAGTGTTGAGCTGGAATAGGGAATGATAAAACAGTTATCATGTGGCTCATTTGTAAGCAAAATATGCTGGGAGACCAACTTGAGGTAGGGAAAGCATTGTTCATCAATCACCACATTGTGAGAAATATGCACCCGACCAGACGAAACATCTAGATACTAATAACCTTTATGCATATTGTACCATCCCAAAAAAATGGATTTCACACTTCGAGGTTGCTGCTGATTATTGCAAGGCATTAAGTTTGGCCATCAAGCCAAGCCAATCACAAAAAAGCTATCATAATCAAGTTTGTCATAAAACAACACCTCATATGGAGATCGCATGCTAAGAATAAGTGTTGGCAGCCTGTATATGATATATGTAGCACTGCAAAGTGCAAACCCAAAATTTTGGGGAAGTGAACTTCAAGAAAGCATATTCAAGCTAATTTCAACAAGGTGATGATGCTTTATGTCTGCCAAACCATTTTGTTTAGAGGTGTGCAAACAGGAAAGATGTTGAATGATACCATTTTGTTCAAGAAATGTAGAAAATCTATGACTTGGGCTTGGGACGGGTAATGG